TATTTTAGATTAGAGCCTCAGAATGAGTAACCAAGTTGAGAACACAAAAAGTTATAGAGCTAATCAGAATATTCAGGGCCCCGTAGGTGGCATGGTGGTTAAGGTGCTATCCCACATGGCCAACTCAGCAGTCCAAGTCCTGGACCCGGCAGCCTGAAAAACACACCAGGCACATGTGCGTGTGCGCCCAAAATCCCAAGAGGAGAAGGAAGGGGAGGAATTGGAGTGTGGCCACCTATCCCCCAGGGGGTGATTTCTCACTTTCCCTCTCTCTTTGTCTCTCTCCGTCCCTCTCTTCCTCTCTCTCTCCCTCTCTCTCTCTCTCTCTCTCTCTCTCTCTCGTGAGAGCATGAACCCCATGACAAAAATCTAAAAAAGAGAAAGAAGGAGAATACCAGGGCCAGCAGATGGCGTAGTGGTTAAAGTGTTGGACGTGCTTGCCCAAGAGGCTTGGAGAGAAGGGATTATGGCAAGGCCATTTCCCACCTTCCCCAGGGAGGGGGAGAGCGATTTCTCACTTTGCCTCTCACTATCTCTGTCTCTTCTCCCCTACCCTGTGAGTGCATGTGCCCTAAGGCAAAAACCTCTTTTAAAAAAAAATTTTGTGTGATGTTGGCTAAAAAAAAATAATAACAAAACAATCCCTGTAGGAGCAGTGTAAGCCCTTATTTAAGAAGGAAAAGAATACATAAATGATTCATCCATAAATTGACATAGAATCACATAATGCTTTTCTTTAACCTTTAGTTTTAATTTGGTTTAACCTTTAGTTTCAGGTTTAGCTGTGCCTTCCAGTGACTCTGATGACAGGGAAGCTGTAAATGGATTTGAGTTAAGCTCTTACAGGAAGTGAATATCTGGCACAGCAAAGCCGCATCTTCAGTAAAAAGGTGGAAAGAGCAAATTAAAGACTATCCTTTAATAACCAGATGTAATTAAACTACACTGTCAGATTTATGTTCTAGTACTTCAGAAGCATTGATATAACCTGTTTTCGAAGTGAGATTGCTGATTCAAAATTAGCACACCTCAATATTTAGAAAAATGTCCTAATCTCCTCTCCTTTTAATTGTGATGTTATGATACAATTTACAGGGTAAGATAGAAATGTACCTCTTGGGGAAATTGTAAACATACTTAAGGTTTTGTCACTTAGGGAGCTTCAGGCAGAAGGATTCTTCTTTCTGTAATCAAGTATCATTTAGAAAATGACAATATTTATTAAGTTCCTTGGAGTGTTCTCAGTGGTACAAATCAAACCCCCCTTCCTTTTTTTCTTTCTCCTGGAGTAGTTTAGTTCTTAACTACAGTAATTCAAAACAGAGGCAGCTTGTTTTCTCACTGAAATTCCGGCGTCCCCTTTGATGAGGGTGGGTCGCGTGGGCTCAGTGGCAGCAGGGCTATTTGGACATCTCTGGAGCCGTGGCTCCTCAGGAGCGTGAGCAGTGGGGCGAGGAGCCCCAGAGCTGAGTTCTCTGCGCTGCTGGCGGATTCAGAACAGCTCGTGTCCCCTTGCAAAGGCTGGAGGCTCGGAGAGCCAGGGTGCTCTGCAGTCCTGGGTTAACCCAGCTCAATTTCTTGACCCACCTCTTCATTTGCCTACCCCCAGGCCCAAAACATTAATGATGTAATAGTGAGAAGTTGGTGACCTTGTTGAGGGCTCCCATGGTCTACGTATTTCTTATTTGGGAGCCTTACTCTAAATGCATCTGTATGAGAAATACAGAGTGAGTAGATTTTTTTTTTGTGGGGGGAGAGGTTTTCGCTATAGGGTGCATGCGCTCACCAGACAGACAGAGAGACAGAAAGACAGAAAGTGGTTCCCAGAGTAGAATTAATTTTAAAAAATAATATATATTTTTGGGACCAGCAGTTGGCGTAATGGCTATATCACTGGACTCCCACATAGTCGACTGCGGTTTGCCTCCCGGACCCGGTGGCTTAAAACTCACGCCGGGCGCGTGTGCGTGTGTGCCCAAGATCCCAAGAGGAGAATGGAGGAGGAGGGATTGCAGCGTGGCCATCCCCCTGGGGGGTGATTTCTCGCTTTCTGTCTCTCTGTCTCTCTCAGTCTGTCTGGCGAGCGCATGTGAGAGAGAGAGAGAGAGAGAGAGATATTTTTGCTATAGGGTGCATGTACACGCCGCAGAGACAAAGACAGAGAGACAGAAAGTGAAAAATCACTCCCCCCCCAAGGGGGAAGGGCCATGACACAATCCTTTTTCCATTCTCCTCTTGGAATTTTGGGCATGCATACACACATGCCCAATGTGAGTTTAAGCCACCAAGTTCAGGTCCTGAACCATGGTCCACTATGTCAGAATCTGGGACGTAACCATTATGCCATCTGCTAGTCCCTATTTTTTTTTTTTTGAGTTGTAATTGCTATAGGGCACATGTGCTCACCAGAAAGAGAGACAGAAAGCAAGAAATCACTCCCCAGTGGGGATGGCCACGCCACAATCTCTTCTCCTTCATTCTCCTCTTGGGATCTTGAGCACACATACACACGTGCCTGGCGTGAGTTTAAGCCACTAGGTTCAGGAATTGAACCACGGTCGACTGCATGGGAGCCCAGTGACATAGCCATTACGCCAATTGCTGGTCCCTCTATTTATTTATTTATTTTAAAATTTGCAATGGGATGCATGCACACACCAAGAGACAGAGAAAGCAAGAGAGAGAGAAACTGAAAAAGCACCCCCAGAGGGATGGCCACACTGCCATCCCTTCTCCATCCTCCTCTCGGGATCTGGGGCACACACACACACCTACACCTGGCATGTTTCTCAGGCTGCCAGGTCTGGGACTTGAGCTACACGGTCAGCCTGCGGATCCAGCCACCTTAACCACCATGCCACAGGCTGGCCTGAATCATGACTCTTTATGTCAACAAAAAGTGGTATCAGATTAAAAAATAATAATAATACGACTCTAGATGGAAGTAGCAATAACTGGATTCTGCTGTCTTCTTTTGACCTTGAAAAGGACGTGTTGGTTCTCTGTATGTCTCTCTGTACTGGAGTAGTGTGCGTTTCCCGGCCCTTTGTGTAGATGTGATAACCTATGAGAAGTGTTCCGAGTGCCTTAAGGAACCATGTCAGCGCGATGTAGGGCAATACCACTGTTACAGTAAAGATAGTGAGGACAAGGAGGAGACAGGTCTACATTTTCTTCCTTAATCTTATCTTTACAGATGCTGGCGGGTCCTTCTGAGTCCCCTGTCCCTTAGGTTGCAGTGTGGTGGACTCCAGGCTGAGTGCAGGAAGAATGCCTTATACCCTCTGAATCGGAAGGCCTTTTTAGGTATTGCCCTCTCAGGAAGGAGTGGATGTGACATCCAGTGTGTGTGCTAGGGGAGCAAGGATCTGCAGCTGGAGAAGGCCTCTCCGCCCTGCCGTGGACAGGCAGCCATGGACTGCGTGCTCAGGCACGGCTTGCCCTCTCCTCCTTCCCAAAGCCCATGGCCTGGTGCCCAGGCTCCTCTGGCCACTCTTGATGAGAAAGGAAAGTGACTCTCAAGAGTCCAGTGCTTCCTACCAAAGTCACCAAGTCGAGTTGACCAGAGACACCTTTTGGAGTGACCAGCAGCGTGACTGCGGCTGTTACTGCATCGCCAGCCATGTCCTTCAGTGCCACCATTCTCTTCTCTCCTCCCCGTGGCAGGGCGGGCCGGG